ATATTTTGCATGCACTGGAGAACATTTGGTGAAAATTTGATGAAAATCGGACTGATATTGAGCGCGCAGTAGCGATTTTCCGCAAAACGCCAAAAAGGGTGTCCTGTAACCTTAAGAGAATCGTTCAAATCGATTCGACCAAACAGCACTGTGCAAATATAGCAGTTGGAGATATGGTAATTTTACGGAATGACAATACACGACGCACGTTTTGGAAATTGGCTAAAGTGGAAATGTTGCTTCCCAGTAGCGATGGTACAGGGCGGTCAGCTAAAGTTATGGTTAACGGGGAAGGCGGTAAACGGATCACATTACGGCGACCAATACAGCATTTGATACCCCTCGAAGTAAACTAGTAAAGGCAAGTGCGACGGATAACAGCTGTGTCCAGAGCCGTGCGGATCAGCAGAACACAGAAAAGATAACGACCAACTACAAAGACGAACACCGAGACGTAAGGCAGCTGTAATTGGCGAAATCGTAAGAAGACAACTTAGTTCGTGATGGACGTTGACACGTACATTGATTAACGTTAACATTAATTTAGTATTAGTTTAATTGATCAATTTTATTGAACAACCCCGGGAGTGTTGTGAACGGTTAAATTGTCGCCGCTATTTTTGTCATAGCGAATAATATGTCAGACACGCGCAAACGAGACGTTTTTTGTTGGTTTCATGAATCGAATCGAAAAACACGTTTATAACGACTTTCAACTTATATTTTATAGTTTATAGTTTAGAAATAAAGTTTATATTACATTCAACTGCGACGTGCAGTACAGTCACTGTATTTTGTAATGTTGTAATGCTAATAACTTAATTATAGTGGTAGAGTCAATGTATTTTATAATGTATTCTTTCATAATAAAAACCCATTGAGTCACATTATGCCCTGATGCACCCTACTTTAGTATTTTACTCCATCTAACACCAGATGATTTTATTCGTCAAGGGGAGAGCACTGGCCAGCGCTTAATGGGTTAACTGGCCTGTCTGCCCATGTGTCTAGTTAACCCATTGAGTTGCATTGTGCCCTGATGCGCCCTGCTTTATTATTTTACTCCGTCTAATGCCAGATGATTTTACTTGTCAAGGGGACAGCGCTGGCACTTAATGGATTAATATGAAAGCTTTGCATTCTGGTAATCTAATTGGTATATTGAACCACAGTAAGTATAGGTACATTTTGCATGCCATGCCAGATTTATTCATCATTAATTAAGTAACTTAGGTCCAGTAAATGCCTGGTTTTCTGCTGTTATAAAACTACTTCCAACATCACGTATTAATACCAGAAGCGATCATTTAATGGGTAAATGTCAATCTAAGTCATCTAAATTTGGATGATCTGTAGAAGCTCTTGGTGTCATAACTCTTTATTACTATTGGTAAAGTTTAATCGTCCATGCCAATTTGATCTACAAATCTATAACACACATGTATATCTCAGATATATGATTGACATGTGCATACACTGCTTGCGATATGTACTTTTATTATCAATATGAGTTTGATATGTGTATCAGATGTGCATGATACACTTAGGCATATCATATTCATGTGATATGCACTTGATAGTATGTGTATCAAATGCATGATACCCATTTATGCACATATCATGTGTTAAGATATATGTGAGTGGCTCTATAGATACCCTGGAACCAGAGGGTATTTATTTTCGCCTGTTTTGAATAACCCTCTGGTGAAATTGGCGTAGTTTTTGGGTTCACATTCCACACATAACTTTCAAAAATGGAAGCAAAGAGTTGATTGGCTGCTGACTATAGGTTCGATAGACTACGTGTTCTGATTGGATATTGTAAACATCATAGCCTGTTCGCAGGCGTTTCATGTTTTGATTGAATTGAAACATTTGAATTTTGAAATGTCTATATTATTAAATAAAGGAACAAAAGTTGAAAGAAGCAGTTTTATAGGCTGCATAGATAGATTGATAAATTTCCTGAATTAAAAGTTTAACAGAGCATCAATACCGCGCCTTGTCCAATTTGATTCACATTAAAGATGAATTTGCATCTTGCTATCAGTTATGGCATGGGAGAGTTTAATATTCCAAATTTCTAACACCGAGAGTAGCACGACGACTTGGCAAAAGCCACAATTTTCTAGAGAAACCCATCTTAATAGTCATTTGCAAATTGAACTCTTTCATTGACTCTCGCGTCCGTGAACTAAGAAAGCCGTGGATGCCGTGTTACTTCACTGTCAAACGAAGAGGACGAGAAAGCAATACTAGATGGAGAGTTTACATTCGCATTTTGTAATCCCGAGTCTATTATTCGAAATGCGAAATGGAGAGGAATGGTTTCATTTGAAATCTACAAGACAAATTTGCTTGTTTTTGTATTAACAGACAAAGTTCACGTTGGCCCAAAGAGGTGTGTTTAATAAATTTATAAAATACAGATTTTTTTTAATGTATATTGCAGGATTATAAAATTGAATGTATATTGCAAGATTAAAGTGAATGTATATAAATATATATTTATATTAAATTGAATAGATGTGATGTTTTAAATTGAATGAAATTCAGGAGAATGAATATTGCTACAAATGGGCTGGCATACACTGGACAGTAAACATGCGATTAAACCCTGTCTAGACGGCCTGGCATCAAGGATAATGATTGGATAATATTTTTAGAATAAGCCATTATACATTTTTTGCATTCTTTATCTGAACCAGGAATCGCTAACAAATTCACCAGAGGTTTTTCCTTTTTCTTCGCGCGTTTTCTCGCATTTCGCGTTCGCCAAACCTAAAAAAACCTCTGGGCCAGGGTACTCTATAGACTACAGCTTAGCAGTCACCAGCAATGCATGTTGCTGACAATAGTCATAGGGACCGTAGGCTAAGGCTTGCCTAATGCAAGTTTCGGCAGCAAAAATGCAAAAAAATATCCTGAAATAATAAGGGTTGGGGTTAGGCCATTGCCTGACTGGACTATAATGGAGTCAAAAATGTAATAGTAATTATATAGAAAGCATCAAAATTGCGCGCCAGAGATATCCACCGCGCGATACAAACTTTCCACACTGGGGCCATTGGGGTCAGTGTCAGGTTAGGGTTATTTCCTGTCAAAACATGAACAGTACTTTACAAGCCCGGTTGGATCAGCAACACACTACTGTCTGTTTAATAAACTGCAGTTGTTCCTTTCTTTGCCTTGATTGACATGTTTATGCAAAAGGAATCACCCAGGGCCCAGGGTGCATTTTAAGTGCAATACACCGATGATCTTCGGCGTGAGTTTGGTAAATTACAGTACTATCTATAGTTAATATTGGCATATCTTTGGCGTAGTTTGCATGGAATACACCCTGGGGGAATCCATTTCTGTCGACTACACCTGTACCTATCGTACCTTGGTCTTTAATTAAAGGTGCAATACCGTGAAATGTATTTGAGTAGTTTTCAACTTCAAATATACAAATACCGTTTACAATATTTTCTTGCATTAACTACTTACCATACACAGATGACAGTTCACAATCTTCAAAATAATGCGGACTTGAGCTCTCCCCATTCGAAAATATGGCTCATAATGGCTGCTAAAATCGAAAGTTGTAAATGTTCAAATGAATTCCGCGATTCCATGAATCACACAAGGTTTCTCAGTTTTCAAAAGGATTTAAAACTCTATACATAATGACAAAAACATGTAAAAATAAAAAAATTGTCATAAAAGTCGTATTGATGAATCTCGAATATGTATTTTTTCTTCAAAATATTTGTTTATTTCGTCTAATGACGCATGCCCATTGGACCGCAACGCGCAAGGGGCTGAGAACGAGCAAATTTCCTTTTTTTCGAAAATACCAATTTTTAAACTAATTTTTAATAAATAATAGTAATGAAAATTCCAATGAAAATTCTTTAAAAAATTGATTATAATATTTTTTTGAGATTTTACAGAAATTAATATTTCAATGTTCAATGTTCGGATGCTAAAAACCTGTGAAACCCGCTCATATCAACCTCCATGGGCATGGGCATGGCGGTCTCATGTCATGTGCTAACCTGTCTAACCTATTCGATCCGTGATATCCATTTTCATTTTACATTACGTTGGTAAAACAGTTCCGGTGGCGTAGCCAGGATTTCTGGCCAAGGGGGGCCCAAAAAATCAGGGGGGCACTTCAAACAAGATGAAAACTGAAAAGAAGGAAACAAAGTACGTACACATTGGGCACCCAATTAGTTTTGTTTCATAGGCGTACGGGGCGGGGGGAGGCAGGGAGGGGGGGGGGGCAACTGCCCCCCCCAAAAAAAACTTTGAGAATCAAGCCATTCGGGCAAGGAATTCACCCAGATTCGGGCAAAAAAGAATTATGTAACCTGATAGTTAAATGATAACATGCAATAGCGCATATCCTTAACCAGGGCCGTC